AGACACTGTTAAACTGTCTTCTAAAGTGGCTTTACCATTTTGCATCCCCACCAGCAATGAATGTGAGTTCCTGTTGCTCCACATCTTTGCCAGCATTTGGGATTGTCAGTGTTCCAGATTTTGGACATTAGGTATGCAGTAATATTTCATTATTCCATTAATTTTCATTTTCATGATAACACATGATGGGAAGTATCTTTTGGTGAGGTGTCTGTTGAGGTGAAAATTTTAAATTTGAATATTTGTTTTCTTATTGTTGAGTTTTAAGATATCTTTGTATATTTTGGATACTAGTCCTTTATGAGAAGTATCTTTTGCAAATATCTTCTCCCAGTCAGAGGCATTTCTACTCATTCTCTTGACATTGTCTTTTGCAGGCCAGAGATTTTTAATTATAATGAAATCCAGCTTATCAGTTTTTTTCATGGATTCTGCCTTTGGTGTTTTATCTAAAAAGTCATCACCATACCAAAAGGTTGCATAGTTTTCTCCTATGCTATCTTAAAGAAGTTTAATAGTTTTGCACTTTAAATTTAGGTCTGTAATCAATTTTGGGTTAATTTTTGTGAAGGATGTAAGTTCTGTGTCTAGATTCATCTTTTTGCATGTGGATTTCTAATTATTTCAGCACCATTTGTTTAAAACACGATCTTTGCTCCATTGTATTGCTTTTGTTCCTTTATTAAAGCTTGGTTGGATACATATAATTGCCTTATGAAGCATAGAAATATAACTGGTAGACCTCAATAGAAGATTGTCACCAATTTGGGGTAAATTGTCGGTAGTCAAGAAAAAAAAGTTAAATGCCCTGATTCATTGCATGACATCACAGGGTATTCCAAATGTCTATTACTTATTGCACTAGATATTCTATGTGCAGTCAGACCTTCAGAACAGAGGATTTATTACCTGGACACTACAGGTGCGACCAGGAGAAAATTCCCAGATAACAGTGCCTCTGGGGACTCAAACTAAAGAGAGCCACTTGGCCCAACAACTTCCCAGGGAAGCCTGTACACAATGACTGAACAATGTGGGAATATAAAGGACCAGAATGCTTGGCCTCAATTAGGGACAGTTCTGAAGGATCATCTCAGCTTCAGAATATCTGAGGCTTTCACTGGAAATGACTGAATCCCAGTTTAACTTCTCCTGCTCTAAACTTCCTTCCATAGCTTTTTTCCTACAAATGTTGACCCCAAGAGCACTCCCTAGTACATCTCCTACATGTTTATCTCTATGTCAGAATCTGCTCCCTGGAGAACCCAACCCTACAACCGTTAGTAATTGAATGTCTCCTGGAATGGCTAGCTTATTGAGAATTAAGAATGGAGGTAACAGGGCTAAAACTGGGAGTTCTGGAACAAGGTTGGGATTCAGGATGCAAGAATTACCCCAAATGACCCTAACTTCTCACTGTCTGAACGGTGGCCCCTCACTTCCTTCCCCCTGCAGGAGAGATTATTAGTTGTTGGAGGAAGGGCTGTCATGTCCCAGGGCCCCAGATTCTCTAGGGCATTGAGCAGCAAGTAATCCTAAACGACTCCAATGAACAACTGAAATCCTAACCAGGTGAGCTAGCACGAAGGTGATCTGATTATTTCTTCTGATAATGTTACTTTCTTACATCTACCTTACAAATAAGTGCAGGACAAAGGGACATCAGGGTTTTTTTTCTCTGGAACATCGGTTATCCCTGCCTGAACAATCTCCCACACATCTAGCAGACACTCTGACCTCCTCAGGTCTCTCTGAGGATGCAGAGGAGGAAGGAAGAGCAGTGGCTTCTCCTCTCTCACTGACACTGACTTCAGAGAGCTTTCCATTTCTCCATCAATCTGTGCCTTCACTCACACTGGTGGTGTTGTAGAATTTATCTTGAACCTTCATGGCTGACAAATGGAGACCTGAATGGGACCCTCTTTGTGCAACAAATAGTGTGACTACAAAGGCATAAATTCTGCTTAGTACTAGTTATGACTTTTTCATTGAATATTATGTTGTTCTATTACAGCTGTCCCAAATTTTCCCCCATTGCTCTCCACTGCCCCTCCCAAACCTGACTCCCATAGTCAATCCCCACTCTGTTGTCCATGTCCATGGGTCATTCATACATGTTCCTTGGATCATTTCTTCCCCTTTTTTCCACACTTATCCCCCCCCCCTTTCCTCTGGTTATTGTCAAAAATCCCCACTCAAGAATATGTTTATTGATCTTAGAGAGAGAAGGAGGATGGGGGAGAGAGAGGAATAGAGAGAGAGAGAAACATTGACTGGTCATCCCTCTAGTGTGTCCTGAGTGGGAATTAACCTGCAACCTTTTGGTGTATGGGACAATGCTCAAACTAGCTGAGCCACCTGGTCAGGGCCAACTGTGACCTTTTTGAAATGTCAAAAGTAGCTGATGGCCATACTAGGGATGGAAACTATCCCTGCAATAAAGAAAAGTCACAGGGAGAGCCACTGGAGGGGCGACCATGGTGTCTGAATGTCTCCAAAGCCCAAAAGAGGAGAGCCTTGTGTGAGAAGTTGTCAGTGGCTGATCAAAGCTGACTACTCACTCTAGTGACCCTGAGGGCTTCTTCAAGTTTTCAAGACAACAACCTAAACGTGACTCCCTATAGAGGGAGTCACACCCCAGGTGGAGGAGCCACACCCAGCTCAGCCTCCCCTGCAACCACTGGCTTCCTTTTCCTGGTAGGAGGGACTGAACCTGTTAAAGTGTCCCCAGGTCTCCAGGGCTTGGGCAGGCAGAGTCCAAAGGGAAAAGCTGCACCCCCATCCAGATAGCCTCATTTCAGATGGCCTGACAACTTCCTATAGTCAAGGTAAAATTAACTTGCTTTATAAAAGGGAAGAGGAACAAAGGGACCAAGACCATTTCTCTGTGCAATGAGAGAAGAATATCCATTTTCTGTGCTCTGACCCTGGCCTCACACATCTCTCCTTCTTCCAAGAGAGGTTATTCCCTCATCAGAGCTATAGGACATTGCAAAGTTTATCCCAGATCTGGTACTTGACAACTGAAGGCTCAGATGGACCCACCTAGCCCCATGAAAGGTCATCTAGTACTTTTTGTAAAAATAGTTTATAAGCTTATGTATAGCTTTACCTTTTAAAGCACATTTGCATGCATTAACTCAGTAAGACCTACATTACCCTAGTGAATTTGTCCAGGGACATATTATATAATACACACATTTTTAAGAAAGAAAAACTAGAACACAAGGTTGGATAAAGGACATTTTCCTTCTTGATTTATGAAAAATTGTTATAAATACAGAGAACTTGAATCACAGCTAGTTATACATGTAATGAATTATATCTTTTTTAAAAAGATAAAATTAAATGAAGCTTGTATTACCACTGAAAATCCTAGAAATATGGTCAGCATAATTATAGGGCATGACATAAACCTTGCAGCTTACTTTCAAACTCCCTTGGATAAAAGTTGAAGGAGAGACAGATCAAATGTTCAGAGGCTTTAAGAATGTGCCCCTGATACACTGCATGATGGGGCCCCCCAAGACTAGTGGGCACTCCTGGAATGGTGGGTACTTGCTCTTCCTCGTCTCAAATGCCTGCTCTACTTCTTTTCTTACTTTAATCAAATTAGGTCCACTCAATAAACACATGTTTATCAGAGGCCCACTAGATATTTACTGGGGCCAAATAGGAATAAGCCCCAGCTTAAGAAACAGGCCTACAACTTATTCCTCACACTAGTGTAGGATGGGTGATTAAGATAGGATGTCTAGTCTTCTGCTTTTTAAAAATCATTATTGGTTTATTTGTTTTATTTTCACTGGTTCAAATGGGCACCATATCCATGTTCAGTGTTCAGCTGACGACTTAGGTGCACAACATTTTATTCCCAGAAGTAAAACCAAAGCATCTAGATAAACTGGAATAATTATTGAATTTTTTATTGAGTTTCTTGGGATGATATCGGATAACAAAACCATACAGGTTTCAAGTGTACAACTCAACAAAACATTATCTGCACTGCATCACGTGACCATTACCCAACATAAAGCCTCTTTCTGTCCCCATTTATTTCCCCTTTGCCCACCTCCACCTCCCCAAGCCCTGCTTTCCCTCTGGCTATCACCACACTTGTCTGTGTCTAAGTGTTATCTAGTCTTGCACTTTGAAGCACATAAAGTAATGGCTGCTTTGTCTGAAAATTAGCAAATAGTGTACCCTCTACATAGCTGCATATAACTGCTGTTTATTGGGACAGGGTATCACCCCATTGAGTCAATCTTACCAAAACATTAAGAAGGGACATGAGTTCTATTTATGCTGATTCTGAATCTCCCTGAACTGTGCCTTTACTTTTGTACTATGATAATGTATCACCAAGAAGCTAAGCAGCATCACCTCTCTAAGCTTGCTACTTTTCACAGAATCATTGGTTCTTAAAAGTCACAGGGAATCCAGAGACTGACCACCCACACCTTCACACAGCACAGAAAATCCCTCCCCAAAGTCTTGACAACGTCCACGCAAACAGGAAGTAGACTTTCATCTGCTTCCGTTGTTTGCACTGAAGCGATCTACATTAGCACAAGCACTGTAGCACACTGTATTCTAGAATGTGGACATCCACAGGGGACCTCTCTGGGGTACAAAGGTGCTTCTAGAAATCTTGGAAAGCTCCCATACCACCTCTGTATCAGACGTTCTCATAAAGCAGATATTTTCTAGTTTTAATTTTTGTAAACTCTCGGATGAATTACTCTAAATAGCTCCAAGCTTTACTCATAATTGCTACAGTAGGCAATTTGTGCCTTTGGTAACAGTAATTTAGAGTTATTAATGAAAATGAAGGCTAATTAAAAAACACAAACATCTAAATTTAAGCTAAGGTGAAAACAGAGTATCATGGGTGAATTTTATCTGTTTTCTTTTTCTATTCTAAAAGACACATTACTTTTGTTGCAATAAGAAAAAATACATTGTCACACATAGTCTTATATTGTATATTAATAACATACCTGCAACCCTTCGATGGCCAGTTTGAGAATGGAAGGTGTCAGTTTGGAAGCTTGTTTGAAGGAAAAATTACTCCAGTCTATAATTAAAAGAAACCCATTTATCTGAAGCTCTGGATCTTCAATAAGGACTTCCAATGACAGCAGGATGGCACGGAGGATGTCGGTGAAGGAGTTCCTGCAGCCAGAGCAAAAAGGAGAGGCTGTGCATGAATATTAGCAGGTGATGGCACTTTGCTTGTGAAAAGCTGGTCTCCTCACTCCACTTTGTCATGAGCCCAACCTGCAGGGTAACATCAGTGTTTTGTACCCAAAGTGTCTGAAATGCATTTGCTAAACTTCACGGGAACACTGCTCCAAGATTCACAGGATGGAAGCTTCCCTTTGGGGGAAGCTGTACTGCACCAGGACCCTAAACTTTATGAAGTGTTTCTCCTTTGTTTCCATAGGTCTCTCTATTTTGCCTCCACCACAGCTCTGATTGCCTTTTATTGACATGCCTCTGTACTCCTCTCTTTCCTTCACAGAGCTCTCATTTCTTTTAGGGCAGAGACTGGGCCATAATCACAGTTGTGTCCCAGTACCTAGCTACTCAATGAATCAATCATTGCTGAACAAATGAGGTGAGACCTTAATCAGGGTGCTTATTTAAATTAAACCTCTTATTGCTTTTGTTTGTTTAAAATCTTGCTAAAAATGTGGAAAAAAAACCCATACAATTGATGATATTTTTTAGTTTCAATTCATGGGGAGAGAAAAATAAATCATGAAGAATAGCTTATTTTCATTGAAGCTTTACAGAGTGTGATTTGGAAAGGAAATTGCTTTGAGTCCATCAGTAACTATGACAACAGGCAGACCTGAATACAAACTAGAGTGTTGTATGTGTTCCTCCATATCATATATTTCCATTCACCAGCTGATCTTTATTCCAAATAATTTTCAGACTCAAAGATATGACGACATATTCACTCTTCCACTCCCAACAAATTATCAGGACTATGTATTTAAGATCTTAGAGTATTCAGCGTCTTTTTTTTTCATGGTAAGTAGGAAAATATAACCTTGGGTGGCAAGTAATGGCAAAATCTGTTACTTCCTTTGGGCTTTCATTAAAAAATGAGAAACCATACCCTCTTGTGAAATCAGTTGGAAATTATCAGATTCTTGAGCATTTAAATCTGATTCAAATTCTAACCAAGTCTAGTGATTCTAAATTTAAAATCAGGAAATCTGTGATAGAAGAGTAAACCAGTAAAAGTTTACTGAATGCTTATTATAAACTCAGCATTGTGTTTCATACTTGAACTCATAAAATAGTATGGTGTGTTTCTACTTTTGAAGAGCTCTTTAGTTGGGATGAGGCAGGAGATTAGCAAGATAAATTGAAAAGAATTGATACAATATGAGTACACAGAAAAGAGTTTATGAAGGGATAAAGGCTTGGGATGTGTTTGAGAGGCAGATAGGATTTTGATGCATTGTTGGGAGAAGGAACAGTAATACATTTTAGGAATGATACAAGTAAAAAGCAAAGATATCAGCTCATTCTGTTTCTGTACATTTCCTTTTACTAAGCATTTCTTCATTATATCCAGCTAAAGTTTTCCTCCCTTAAATCCACCCTTTGGGTGTGGTGCTGCTAAAAATTAGACAGACAAACAAACAAACAAACAAACAAAAAAGCCCACTTCAGGTCTTTCCATACCACACACTTTTAATAATCTGAACATGGTGGCCATGATATCCCATATAATCTCTAGATTTACAATAGTCTTAATAACTTTAACCATCTCTGAGAAAATGGTATTTAATACTCTTCTCATCATTGTTTTCTTTCAGATATATTTTAAGTTTTAGGAATGTCAGATTCTTATTAATGTAGCATAAAGTTTTCATTAGCACTTTGTCTGGTTTTCGTTTTATATTCATATCAGACATGATCTAAAGACCCAAGTCTTTTTATTCAGAACCATCAGAAATCTAGTTGAATGGAAGTCTGACAACTATGAAATTAAATAAATCACATTAAGCCAGGTGCAGATATGGAACAGGCTGGTCCCACACCCATGTGTGGTGAATAAAATTTGGGGAGGGATATCTCAGGAGCAAGGAGTTCCAGCCCCACACCAGTTTTCCCAGCCTAGGGTTCCAGTGCTGGGAAGATAAATCCCCACAACTTCTGCCTGCAAAAACCAGTAAGTATTGAGTCAGTAGAAGAAAATTCTGGAACCCCAAGAAGTTCCTTTTAAAGAACTCACACATAGACTCACCTACTCAATCTCACTGTCTCTGAGCTCCAGCACTGGGGTAGCAGCTTGAAAGGAATCAGTGGAATACAGGGAGAAACTGAAGTGTCTGGCATCAAAGTGAGCAGAGTTCATTGTTTCTTTCTCAACCCTTTCCCTCAGAGCCATAGAGCCAGCCAGATTATGCCATATCTGAGTCTCCATCAACCTGGCTAATACTGTTTGACCTGCCTTGGAGATCCCCAGAGACTTTGCCCCACTCAATTTACAGGCCCACCCAAGATGCTTTTCCACATGAATGCTGGTCTTGGCTAATACTGTACCACTTCCTAAATCCTCTCAAACAAGCAACTGCTGGCCTCAGTAAGCCCCAATCCTGGTACTATCAGCAGCCAGCCTAGATTCACAGCTTGCAATGCACAAGTAGCAGCCATCTCATATTGCTTTACAGCTCAGGCAGGGTGACTCTGGGCAGAACACAGGTGGGGGCTGACCTTGGTCTGCACCACCCAGGGAAGCCCAGGGCTAGCACAACCAGCGAAGAGTTATAGACTACATCAGATCACTGCAACCCTGACCCTGCATGGCTGATCCTCTGTGGAGGACAGAGGTTGGTGGTAAGTGGCCACAGCCAATCCTTGCTCCTGACTGGCCTGGGTAAATCCCTCCAATTAATCTGCCAACAGCAACCAAGGCTCAACCACAATAGGAGGATGTACTCAGCCCACACAAAGGGTATACCTGGAGTACCCATCTTGGGTGATAGGGGAACCTGTGCCACTGAACCCTGTAGGGTGTCCTGTAGGACACCTACTACATTAGGCCACATGACCAAGACACGAAGTTAAAGCCGCTCTACTTAATATATAGTAATAAACACAGGGAGGCTGCCAAAATGAGGAGACAAAGAAACATGGCCCAAGTGAAAGAATGGATCAAAACCCCAGAAAAAGACCTAAACAAAATGGAGATAAACAATCTATCACATGCAGAGTTCAAAACACTGGTTATAAGGATGCTCAGGGAACTTAGTGAGGACCTCAGCAGCATAAAAAAGAAAAAGATCTGGTCAAAAACAAAGAATACACTAACTGAAAGAATAATTTACAGTGAAACAGCAGTAGAGTTGATGAAACCAAGAATCAAATTGATGATTTGGAACATATGGAAGGAAAAACAATTGATCAGATCAACGAGAAGAATATAAAATCCAAAAAAAATGAGGATAGTATAAGCACCTCTGGGACAATTTCAAGAGACCCAACATTCGCATCATAGGCCTCAGAAGAAGAGAAAAAACAAAGTATTGAAAATCTATTTGAAAATTAATGAGAAAAAGCTTCCCTAATTTGGTGAAGGAAATAGACATGCATTTCCAGGAAGCACAGAGAGTCCCAAGGAAGAGGGATGAAAGAGGTCCATCCAAGACACATCATAATTAATATACTAAAGTTTAAAGATAAAGAGAGAATCTTAAGAGCAGCAAAAGAAAAGAAGTCAATTACCTACAAAGGAGTTCCCATAAGACTATCAGCTTATTTCTCCCAAGAAACTTTTCAGGCTAGAAGGTATTGGCAAGAAATATTCAAAGTTTTGAAAAGTGGGTACCTAAGCCAAAGTTACTCTACCCAGCAAAACTATCATTTAGAATTAAAAGGCAAATAAAGAGCTTCCCAGACAAGGAAAACTTAAAGCAGTTCATCATCACCAAACCATTATGATATGAAATGTTAAAGGGACTTATTTAAGAAAAAGAAAATCAAAACTATAAGCAGTTAAGTGGCAAAAATACTAAAAATACATATCTATCAACAATTGAATCCAAAAAACAAACTAAGAAAACAAGAAGAACAGAGTCAGAATAATGGATACAGAGTGTTTCAATGATTGCCGGATGGGGGATTGAAAGAAGAGGTGAGGGAATTAAGAAGTACAAATAGGTAGTTACAGAATAGTCATGAGGATATAAAGTACTGTATAGAAAATAGAGTAGCCAGAGAACTCATACACATGACCATGGACATGAACAATGGTGTGGGAATTGCCTGAGGGAGTGGGAAGTGCTGGGTTGAGGGATACCAAGGGAGAAAAATCAGGACAACTGCAATAACATAATCAATAAAATATAATTTTTAAAAAAGACCCAAGTCTTTTTTTACAGATACAGCTTTGTGTTGGAAAGAAACATTGATTTAAGTAGGACATGAGACCAGATTGTGAGTTTAGGCAATTCCAAATGGAAATATAGAAATGCCCGATGGTAAACTAAAAATGATCATTAGAAAATCAGCGTCTGATCCCAGATAAGCTATCTTAAGAAAAGCACACACATGGAAAAATTCATGACTGAAAGGCTAAGCCTCAAGCAAAGCCTACATACAGTACTGAGGTTGAAGAAAGAAGAACTGGGAAAATAAAAAGTGAGGGGATCAAGACAGTACTGTGTTTAAAGGGGGCATATTTCAAGAAATAAGGATATGATAAATTGCATTACTGCACTATTGACTGCAATTCTTCACTTAACTGAGCATCCACACACTAGCTATGTATTGAGCTTATTGACAATAGAGTGTATTTCCCACCCCATGGTCATGTAACTTGTAACTGATGGCATATGACAGAAATGGCAGTGTGTCAATTTTGAGTCTAGCTCTTTTAAAGACCTCATTGCTAATTATTCTTTTGTTTTCTCCCATTGCCATGTCAAAAACATACTACAGCTAGCATGAACTAAAGAGAAGCATAAGAAATACAGACCGGTGACTCCCCAGCCAACTAGCAGATTTTCATGAAAAGAAGAGCCACCCAGCTGAACCCAGCGCAGGTAAACTCCAGCTGTCCCACAGATATGTGAGCTGTAATACATTGTTGATTTTTTAAGCCATTGAATTTGGGGATGGTTTGTTATAAAGCAACAAGTATCTAATGC